TTAATCATTGACTCGGTTACCTCGAGAATCGGCGTTGCCTTTGCCGCCTTCTTTATCCTAGTGTGGTGCTAATCAATGAAGAAAGCCGACTCAGATGAGATGTTTGTTGCGTCGGGTTGCTTCACATTTACGGGTACAATCTGCTTGCGCGCGCCGTGTCGCTTGTCAGCAGTGGCGTCCTTAACCACAAATTCGACATCCATTGTCTGAAGCGCCTGAAAGTAATTCATTGTCGCTATGCCATTGAGCGGCTGTGGCTGCCGTTTTGTAAGCAGGGCCGTGAAATTAAAATCAGCTCAGCTTCGCTTCTTCTTGTTCTGGACCATCGAGAAACCGTCCGAGCTATTACCCTTCGTCAAAAGCAATAGCGGCGCTTTTATCTTACTCATTGGACTGTCGGGCGGTGGATCTTACCAATTGAGTTATCAAACGTCGAGATTGAGAGCGCGTCATCTCGCTCACTCGAAATTTGGGCGATTTGGCTGGTATCAGTAGGTAAGCCATGCGGAGCGACGTGGGGGAGAGACCTATTGCGCTTCTTAGTCTCTTCGACTGCTATTTGCAGCGAAGTTTACCAGCTTGCCGCTCGTCTTTGTTTGTGCGTGCGTCATTGACTGATTCCTCGGAATTTTCGACGTCTGCGACGGCGACGGCTTGGTCGGAGGATCCGGACGCGGGAAGGTGTCATCGCTCGTGAGTAAGTCAATACCGTGCAGTGAGCGGTAGCCATATGGCAAACGCTCGGACTGGTACAGCGCGTTCTTTCCGTGAGCTGAATATAGTTTGTTGTCAAACAGTACTGTTCACACTGAGCCGTTCACTACAAGTGGCGGATGACACGTATTCGAGAGGAAGTACACTCGCCACGTCGCCGAGGTCTTGCCAGTTGTCATGTTAACTTCACGAAACGTGTCATAGATCTGCTTGCACCCGATGATGAAGAGCCGATGCAGGTTCGTATCCGTTTTCGTGTCTGAGTCGACGTTCGAGATGTGCATGAAGTACTTGCCCGCGAGAATGTCAAACTCGTTGAACATGAATACGCCGCCCATGATATTCACCTTCGTGCGTTCAAGCTATAAGCAAGCTTCGTTGGTCTTCATCTTGACGCGAAGATTGCCACCGGGGAGTTTCGACACTTGATCAATCGCGTGATCGCCATACAGTTTCTCAAGCGCGTCGTTGCCGTGGTGTGAACCAGTCAGCGATGACATGATCTTCTGCAGTGGTGTCTTTGCGAAGGTGCGTCCCGTGTCAATCACCATATCATAGCGTTTGCGGGGCAACTCATAAGGCCGCGCTTGATCTATGCGAGAAGAGACAAACGACCAGTCACGCCCGGCAGCATACTGGCGCTCGATCGATTCGATGTCACGCGCGAGCGGCTTAGGTGTCTCGATGCGATTGCGTAAGGCGTCGATCACGGCTTTATCGCGACGAATAACCTCTTGACTTTGCAACAGCTCAGCCATCGTCGGACGCGTGTCGGCAGGTGCGGGTGACACAGTATCAACGAGAGGTAGCTCCATTGGCTCGTCGTTCAGAGCAGCAGCAGCAGTAGCGACGACTAAAGCGTCGGAGGGCGCGATCGTTTCCCCGCCGTTCAAGGATCCCGATTCAGCAACCACGGATGCAGATGGCACGGGAAGTATAGAAAAGGGAGGCGACTTAGGAGAGCAAGAATGGGATGGGGATAGATGGGTTGAGCGGGAGATGGGATCGCGCAAGTCGGATTGAATGGCTGATGAAGCACTTATAGATAAACTGGCTCTCTTTAAATTTCCAGATGAAGGTAGGCCGTCCTTGCGACAGTACGCGAGACTGGGTCCGGATCCAACGTCTACACCTGATGTGACAACTGGAGGCACAACAGGCGTTGATGAATGGACAACCAGAGTAGAAGTGTGATTAGCAGCCAATGAATCCATGGGTAATGAAACAGCGGCAGCAGATGTGGAGAAGGAGGGGTGCGGTTCTTCTTATGCTTTGACGTGTGGGGGTAGCCGGCAAATCGAGAAGTCGCACATACAAGCTTCAATACGTTTCCGCACTGTCCTTTTTTTTCAAAATTCGGTGCTTTTGAATCGATCAGGACTTTTCACAGCTAAATAGAGACCGGGAAGCTGATATGAACAATAAACAACTCTGGTCGATAAACGTCGCCTCTCCAAGGGATAATCGCTTCATTTAATGCTGAATGTTAAAAAGAACACAGTCTCCATGAGGCACGATAAAACCCAATTCTTTCCCAGTAAGCTGTCTCGCGCCTACTGAGCCCTGACCTTGCCCCTAGAAAGATTCGTCAATCGCCCATGCACAGCAATCCGACCCTTGTATCTTTGAAATGAGAGCCAAGGGGCAAACAAGTTGCACAGATATTTCATCTGAGGGTATCCCGGAGCTGCGCAGCTGCCAAGATATTTATCACTTCTTCCTCTGTATAGATGGTAACCATTGCCTCTGGCGCGCTCGTAAAGTTATTTTTACAGCCACATCATGCTCTTGCAGTACGGAACGACGCTCAGCATTTCATCGATCGGAGTGCGTGGATTTGAAAGTTCTTGGTGCGACATGCATTCGTGAGAAGACCCTTCTTTACGATGATAACTATTACCAGCCTCGGATTATGTGAGACGCCGTCGCAGAGTTTAAAGCTTATAGCTCCTGACATAGTCCGCCAGTTCTCGCCTCCCTTGACGTACAAAAGCGAACCCCGAACGCTCTCGATACGCCCGACCAGGCAGCGCAACACCTGCGACATATTCAAATCTCACTAAGTTGGAGACGCCTCTATTTTACGTAGGTGCCGAGTTTTGCGCGCGATCTTCTTGCCCGGGGATCTCAAGAATGACGCGCAGTGGCTTCATTTGGAACAACGTCGAATTCATGAACATCTCACCTTTTCTTCGAGTGATACAGATTATTTCATTCAAATCTACAATGGTCTGGACTGTGAGAATCAGCAGTCTCACATCGAGAACATCTCTTCCTCCACCGGCTCCCGGCTGAGACGGTGTTCACCAGCGCATTCTCAAAGCTGGTGCAAGCACTTATTTCTTCCGGCTCTTTGGCCGCCAAGCCAAATTCCCGATTTCGTCATGAACCAAGATAGACACAACCTTGTTTACCGGTCTATTGTCCAACGAAAAATGCTTCAATCTCATAGAGGATATAAAAACTTTCCATGACTCCGTCGCGGGATTGATACTTGGTGCAACGGGGTTGCTTTGAACAAAAATAGTTTTGACTTTTAAGAGTCCGTCAGGAGCGAAACTGAGAGCCTTTACTGTGATCTCAGGATTAATATTCGAATTTATTCAACCTAATATTACATTTATATGTGAGTATTTCTCATAAATCAAACTATTTCTCTAATCTTATCGTTTAATTAACGATATTCCGAAGAATTGTAAGATTACCATTGAGCTAGAAAGTTTAGAGGTAAAGTATACAAGATTACGGTACTTGCCCCGTTACAATGTCCGCGGTCACTTTGCGCATCGCTTCATCAAAAATTAATTCTCCATAGAATAGACTATATATCCTCCACTGTATTATACTTATACAATAAAGAATACGATATTTTTCTATCTCGATCGACTTTTCTACCGGTTTTTGGTGAAAGTAGATCTACCCCCCCTCGTGCCACCATGTACAGTGCCTCGCAGCTCTTGGCACTAAGCGTCTCCGTAGCAATCTGTGTCATTGCAGTACTTTATGCTGATTATTTTGCTGGTCTTTTCTCAAAACGTGATGCCTCATTTAGCGTTCCCGAACAGCAGCAAATGCTAGCATCGCTGATGTTCCATGCGTCCAAGAATGGCAACGCTGCAGCGAACACACGCGATCCACCTCGTCTTGCCTTTTGTTGTAGTGCTGATTTGGATGTGGCTGTTCCTGCTGTAGCGCTAATGCAAAGCGTGCAGAAAGTCGAACTGCAACAACTGCAGAAAAATAGCAAGAATGAAAAGATCGACGAGAAATTAAACAAGACCCACCATGAACGGATTGGTTCATTAAAGCAACTCCAAGAGAGTTTTGTCTACTATTTCTCAACTGGAGCTGCAGCTGAACAAAGTACGCTTTCTCCAGAACAGTTTCGAGAAGTGGTAACTCTAGCCAATGCACTACCTGAAGTGAAGCGTAAAGTAGGTGGTAATGCTGCTACTATGGCCGAAAGAGCTTCAGCAGAAGGTTGTATGGTACTTTTAGGAGCGGCCATGGGTAACGGTATGAAACCGTATTTTGTAGACGAGCGCATTAAACTCGTTGGTCACTTAAAAGAACACGAGCATGAGGACGTGCATTTGGTGTTAGAATATGCTAGTGGAGACAAATTCAGGGGCTATACGTCTCCACGTGCAAATCGTTACTATTTGAATCATGACGTGCACAATGCTCAGCTGTCAGTATTGGAAGAATTTGAAAAATCTTTGGATTCTTTCAAGCCTGATTTGGTGGTTTTTGGTGGTTTGCAGCTCATGGAGGTACAGATTAATGAAGCTACACGTTTAATGCGTCTTCAAGCATTGTCGGACGTGCTTCAAAATCTCTTTGTAACACAAACTCCAACTCATTACGAATTTGCAGCTGTATCGGACTTTACTCTCTTTGATGACACAGTTCGACTTGTACTGCCGTGGGTAGATTCTATCGGTCTCAATGAACAGGAACTTTTTATTCTACATCATTTCTTAGTGACAGGCGAAAAAGGAACAGCAACGACATCACGTCCATCCGTGTCGGAAATTAGTGCTCAACTACATGACATCATTCAATTCGCATCAAAGGCCAAGAAAGTCTTTCAAACAACCAAAGAAGACCGAGATAAGTCAGTGGCATTAGCTCAACTCTCGCGCATTCACTTCCACACTCTACAATTTCACATTGTGTGTCAAAAAATGGGTAGTAAATGGGAAGATCCGACGACGGCATTAGTACAAAGTGCACTTATGAGTAGTAAAGTAGCGTGTGGCAAGTCACGGGCGAATACTACAGACGAAAGCATTCCACAACCCATGCGCACAAGTGCCGAAATGGAAGTTGATCCCACGCGAATTGAAATGTTGCTAGCTCGACAGCAGCTATTGAGTGAACGGCAAAATCTGAAAGTAGAGCTGGACCCATTTTCACCCATTGTGACGTGGCAAGAAGCGAATTTTCAGTGTCATCTTGTACCAATGTTGGCTTGCAAGAAGCCAGATCATACGGCTGGCTTAGGCGACAATATCTCTGGCACTGGAGTAGCGTACCACCGCATTCAAAAGTAGAATAAAGGTCGTTCTTGGACAAGCGTTTACTCTATTTTCTGTTTTCCGATAAGAATCGATATAGTATCATAAACTGCATACCCTCTTCTTCTAGTTGCTTACTATACGTGAGCTAGCCCCGACTTTTGCTGTCATGCGTGTAAACCACGGCTCAATATTAGTTTCACGCATGATGTCATTATAAGTATCAAGTCCATGCATAGCACGCAAGACTCCAAAGACTGAAAGATCAGCCATGTTGGGTTCGTGTCCACCAAGAAACTCACGTTCGTCGCCAATAGCTTTTATCCAGCTAGTTAGGGCTGAGTAGATTGCTTGCCGTTCGTCATCGACGTTGTATTTCTTCTTGGATCGTTTTGCAATGATGTACATAATCATCGCTCCTGCATATTTAGCCACACGACGTTCCAAAAGTGTAAAATTTCCTTCTGTGAGACAGTAATCAAAAGCCTGCAATGCTTCCGGTACCGTGCGATAGATGTTGGGTGGCGCCAAGACAATAAGCTTTTGATCGACCCATTGACGCCAATGATCCTCTTCCACTCGAGCTTCATCACTTTGTTTTAAGCTTTTCGACTCATTCATGAGCTCTCGCAATTTCGAAATAATGGCAGAAGAGTCTACAATCACTTCGTTATTAATACGCGCGATTGGAACCTTGCGATAATCCGTGAAAGCCTTGGTCTCCTTCTTAGTGAGTGGATTTACTTCTACTACTTCGTACGGGATCTTGTAGTAGTCAAGCACAGCCTTAACCTTACAGCAATAAGGACATGGCTCGTATTGATACAGCACAACGCTAGGTGACGCATTGTTTCTGTGTTTCGACACAGCCAAAGAGTCTTCATTATGAGCAGAGCAGAAAGCACAAGCGATACTGGTGCTGGCAGTAGCAGCTACAAGACCGACTTTTGGATATACAGAAAAGAAAGAAGAATCTTTTACCGATCGAAAACGCAGTGAGCTGAAGTGATTACTATTGTTACCGACACGCTTGAACGCTGAAGCTCGCGCAAGGCGAACCATCCCACGTTGCAACATTTTGATTGTTGATGCGTTGTGGGTCTGATTGGCAGAAATGTTAAATTATCATTACACAGCAATTATGTGTCATTGATGTATGCGCCAAGGATAAAGTCCGCGATGGCTTTAGTGCGTCACCTTGCAGAAACATTCAAGGAAACTTTGATTCGACGGCAAATTGCAAAAGTCAACACGAGTTGATAAAAACACCAATTACGTCAACTAATTATTAAAGCTAATACGCTACCTGCATTCAATCTATATATGACAAAACATCGATCTTTTCTTCGTAGGTCCGCTTAGTCATCATCAAGCACATAATCTTCCATACCTTCTTCTTCTTGGTCTAATTGTCGATATCTTTGTTTCGAGTCTTGGTGTGCTAGACACGATGCAAATGGTTGACGAATGCAATTAAATGAGTAACTCACTAAAGAACCCATTCGCATATACAACTGCGTCATGGGGTTGCTCCTTTCACGTTGCCATGCAGTAATTTCGTCTTTTAACGTCTGTGCACGATTGTTTTCATTCGTAGCTGAATGTGGTTCTTTGGTATTCTGAAATGGTGCAAGGTGGATCGTAGATGGATGCAGCAAATGCGACCCAAAGAGCTTGGACGCACGACCACTGAACACCACACGAGCTGAAGATTGTTTTGAGTCTTTCTCTACTTTGAAAGGATTCTCAATTCTCGTCAGGTCACAGTGAAGGGGCTTTAAAACACTTTCGCATGCATTCGGTTTTGAGCAGCACATAGGTAGATAGACGATATTTAACTTCTGCTCGGCCTCAGTGAGTGGCCACTGGTGTTTCACACACATGGCAGGATCCAACTCTGTTGCCAGCACTTGCAGCCACATGCGCTTTTCTTTTGCATTATAAACAGAGCTAATAGCCGATACAATCGCGCTGTTTTTGATGTAGAATAATTCCTTGGCACAATCTGATGCGTCAGCGCGAGCTGTGATCGTGTTTGCAGGTACAGAAATGCCTTCTGCTTCTACTTCTTGATTTCCATGATCTAATGATAAATTCACTTGGTAATATTCTTTTGATTTCAATTTGCCAGGACAAGGAATTTCCTGAACCATACACGTATTGATCTTGGCATTTGATTGAAGAACATACCCATATTGTACTGTGTGACTAAGATGTTTCAATTCGTATTCATCCTCTTTCAAGTCTTCAATATTATTGTTTGGACTGTGAGACATTGCATTATTATCTTCATCGTCTTTGCCAGCATTATCACCATGGTCACGTAATTTATCAGCAGTAGGTAATGCCACTCGAATCCACATTCGTCCACTATCATTAAGTATCCGTCGAGTCGATGAGAATACTTGTCCTGGCTCAAGATGCCCCACAACTTCAGCTTCTAGATCTGTAGTGCGTCGCAAAGGCAATGGACGGCGACTGTATACATTTCGATAGTAACGCTCTGCAGTATCCTGCATCGGTATATCTTCAATACGATTGCTTCCCCACGGTACAAGCACTCGCTGCGCAGTATTAGCATTCCGCTCGATTACCCACGCATCAGGTCTTGTACCATTCTTTTCATTTTCATTTTCTTGATTTCCAGCTGGATTTATCGCTGGATCTGGTTCATCACTCTTTTTCTCTTGATACATCTGCGAATGCTCCTGCACCTTAAACGGTTGGATACGAATCCAAATGCGATCTTTGAGTAACTTGCGTTCAATTGCTCGAACAACACGATAGCTCTCAACACTGTATAATCTTGGCGCTTTTAAGCTTGGGATGGCACGAACAGGCAATTCTCCTACCCACTTGCCACTCCGATTAGCGACATTTTGAAGATAAATTGGTCCGTGACGAAACACTCCATAGCGTTTTGGATCTTCCACTTCAATTAGCGTCTTGTGGTACGATACATTGATCCAACCTTTTAATCCAGCGAGTGTCGATGTCACTTTGACAGCAAGTTGAGTGAAGTCTTGATTAAATTTACATTCTGTCGCTTGAAAAATACTCACAGGTGGCAAAAAACGATGCATCGATTGTAGTGATGCCCCAGCACTTGAGACTGAGGCTGAGTGCAATTTAAACACTGGTTCCCGGTACAGTACCAACTGGTCACGAGCACACATGTACGTTGGAAATTCTATTCACATTAAGATTACAACCATCACATCAGGAAGTAAGTTACTTATTGTGATACACTGAACGTAACTTCAAATAGTACAAAAACGTACTAGGAAGTCGCCGGATGTAGCGAAATTGTGCTGGTTGTACTGCGACCACAGATGAGAGCTGACGAGACGGTATTTCAGTGTTTTCAAGTGTTTTTAAACCTGTGGGATGTTCAAAATACACACGTATGTAACCATTATTCTTTGCATTGGAAAAATAGCCTCGACGAATTTTTAACCACACTTGATTTTCGTAGTAAAGAATTCCTGAACAAGCAAAGTATGAGCCTACGCGAAGCTCTCCACACTTATCGATCGGCGTTTCGTGAGGTGATACATATACAAACATGCGCTCGCGATTCAGTAAAGTTGATGACGAGAGTGCACCACCATCTGGCCCAATGTACTGGAAGAATTCTTCCATTGTTAATGCGTTTTTGGCCGCAAGTCGGAATAGGCAGGACTCGGATGTCTCTAAAAGTTTGCAACATAACACAATCAGTAATATAACAAATAGTAAAACATGAATAGTAAAATCTAAGAAAACAAAACTTGCATCATATTCTATTGTGAAGTAGCTAATATCGTGTTTATAATAAAAGATCAAGTATTACTTGGCTTCACAGAACGACTTGGCGTTCTGAAAAATCTGCATCCATGGACTCACAGGATACACTGCGAACTCCGCCGGCATATATGGCCATTGGTACTTAAGAAAGCAGCGTTCTGGATGAGGCATGAGGCACAAGTGACGTCCATCGCTTGAGACCAAACCTGCAATTCCAAGCGGTGACCCATTCGGATTAAACGGATATTCCTCCGTCGGCATGTTCGAGTCATCTACGTATCGGATCGCAGCAGCTCCACTCGAAACGTACTTTTCTTGAATCTTTGGATGTGTAAAGTGCGCACGTCCTTCACCGTGCGAAACCCAGACACCGCAAGACGTGCCAGCCATGCCGCGCAGCATCACGGCATTCGTCTCCTGAATCTGTACGGATACGAAACGTGACTCATGGCGACCTGATTCATTGTGCACGAATCGTGGTTGAGCTGACACTTTCGTCTCTTCTTCCAGTGCTTTCGCATCTGGATGATCGAGCCAGCCAAGTAACGTCATAAATTGGCACCCGTTGCACGCACCAAAACTAAACGTATTGTCGCGAGCTTTGAATGCTGCGAACTGCTTCAATACATCGCCGTGGAACTTGACAACACCTGACCAGCCTTTAGCCGAACCGAGAACGTCTGCAAACGTAAATCCTCCTACAAATGCAACCCCACGGAAGCGTTCGTCCAGCGTTACGCGCTTGTGAACCAGGTCCGACATCGTGATGTCCCACACCTCGAAACCGGCGTGATAAAATGCAGATAACATCTCGCGCTCGCCGTTGCTTCCTTCCTCGCGAAGGATAGCGACACGATGCTGGGCACGCGTGCTAAGCTGGCGCTCAGGGGTCGACTTAGGCTCATATGATAATTTCCAGGACGGAGAAGTGCGTGTACGCAGTGCACGCTGTTCTTGACGAACGCACTCAGGATTGCACTGACGCTTCTCAAGCTCAAAGCTGGTCGCTTCCCACACGTCACGTAAGTCTACCATCTGATCCTCAAGAACGCTCTCGCTATTCACACTGATTCTAATTACTCCATCCGTTGTCACCTTACCAAGTTTGAATAGCGGTACGCTTAAGTTACTAAATATTGACTCAATTTCCTTCGCGTGCTCACCAGCAGCAGTTTGAAAGACAAAACCAAGTTCCTCGGCAAACAGCACTTCCAGAACATTCTTGATCGCAACCTTTTCACCAGTGAACGGAATGTCCACATCCAAACCACAGTTGCCAGCAAATGCCATTTCAAGAAGCGTCACAATGAGTCCACCGTCGCTACGGTCATGACCAGCAAGTATATGGCCATTCTTGATGCCACTTTGAATGGCATTAAATGCGTTTTTAAACAATTCAATATCCTCAATATCCGGAGATATATTGCCCACCTGTCCGTACACTTGAGCCAGTGCTGAGCCACCCAACCGGTTAGCTCCTCTGCCGATATCCACATAGTACACAAAGCTGTCCCCAGCGTGTGTCTTGAGATCAGGCGTCACCTTAAGCTCGACGTCGTCCGTTGGTGCGTACATCGTAATCACTAATGTACCTGGGGTCTTAACATCCTTCTTGTCTACCTTTGCAGCCATCGATAGCGAATCCTTGCCGCCATCCACTGCGACACCAATTTGCTTCATAAACGTTGTCATAGCCTCGCAGCACTCATACATCCTAGCAGCTTCGTTCGGTAGCTTAGCGGCCCACATCCAGTTTGCCGAGCACTTGCAGTCTTCCAGTCCGCGTCCGCCCAGTGCAGCCCACACCATATTAGTCAACGATTCACCTACACTCAGTCGCGCCATAGCACCGGGATTCACGAGACCCTTCATTGGCTGTTCTCCACAGGCGCTTACAACGCCAATAAACTTGCCATTATCGTTTGGAAGGTGCGACTGAGCGACAACAGCACAGTCGGCTAGTGGCAGTTGAAGAGGGCCCACCGTCTGTTGCTGAGCGACGAGCCCACTGACTGATCGGTCCACTTTGCTGGTTAAGAAGCGCTTCGAACCGACCGATAAAAGACGCAAAACGCGGTCCAGCGCGTCGCGCAGCGTCACATCCACAGGCATTGACAGTTCCGCGACAGAATCCGTGGCTGCTGTATCCGTAAAAGTTTTCTGAGGCATTTTACCGAGCACTAGGTCCAAATCCAGATCAAACGGTGTTGAATCGTCGAGCGAATCATGCAACACAACGTGGCCATCCCCCGTCACTTGACCCAATAATGCGTACGGACAATTTTCACGCTTACAAATCTTGTCAAACAGCTCGACGTGTTCCGGACGAAGCAATAAAGCGTCATTCTCCTGGTACTCGGCTCCCCAAATCTCCAGCACAGACAAGGTTTCGTCGCCGACAAGAATGTTTCGCACTTCATATCGAGCACCTCCACGGTTTGCATCACCTGGTTTTGCATTCGAGACTTCAACAATCTCCTTTAGCACATTTCCATTCCCACCCGCTCCTTGGTCATGAATCGACACAATTGGATTCTTCTCGCCCAGATCACAACATGCTCGAATCACCTTGTTCAGTTTACACTCCATCTCTGCATCTCCACGTTGAACAGCGTTGAAGTCAAGCTCAGCAGTCTTGGCGTCTTGAATACGACTAGAAGCAGCACCACCACCCATTCCAATTCGATAGCATGGTCCTCCAATCTTGACAACCCACATGTTGATTTCAGGCTCACCTTTTGTACAGTGACTCGCATCTAACTGGCCAAGACCTGCAGAGAACATGATTGGCTTGATATACTCTCGCCGCTCGCCATTAGGCAAAACCATTCCAAAGGAGCGAGCAAAACCCGACACAACGGGCTCTCCAAACTTATTTCCATAATCTGACGCTCCATTCGAAGCCTGAATGAGAATTTCCCGTGGGTGGGCAAGGTTGCTTGGGTACACAAGCGACGCGTCCTCCCACGGGAGTGTGTACCCCTCCAAATTGAGATTACCTACCGCGTACGCACTGATACCAGCCACGACATTAGCACCACGACCAGTAGCCTGGACATCACGAATTCGACCACCTGTACCCGTTTCAGCGCCTGGGAATGGTGCCACACCGGATGGAAAGTTATGAGTCTCGGCAGTCAGCAACAAGTGGCTTTCAAGGTGACGCTCTTGCATACGTGAGGGTTCACCAGGTGTAACGGGTCCGAGTGTAACAATACGCGCGCCCTGGATTACCGACGAATTATCGTGAAAAGCAATCACACTGTTTTTCTTAGCGCTTTCGGTCAATGTGTCTTTGACCATCTGAAATAAAGTATGGGGCATTTCCTTTCCGTCAACCACGATCTTACCACCAAAGAACCAGTGACGCGAGTGTTCCGAGTTGCTCTGTCCCATGTCAAAACATTCGACGTCTGTTGGATTACGCTTTAATTTGTTCCGGAAGAGATTGAGGTAGTATTGTAGGTCCCAGTCATCAAATCCCAGTCCAATCTCATCATTGATCTCCTTTAATGCATCAATACCACGCTCCATGATCGGGATCTTACGGACTGGTTGTACCGTCTTACCGTGCCAGAATGATGTCAATGGTTCTTTATACACCTGTTGCGTCATTCGGTCACACTCATGATTTAACAAAGCGTGCTTGAGCGTCTCTAGATCTTCTGGCTTTGTAGTTTTAAAGCTTATCAAATAACGTGTAGCGCGTTCAATACGCTTGATGGTCGAGATACCACACGCTTGACAGATGGCTACAGCATTACTGGACCAGGCAGTGGAGAAGTTCATACGTGGTCCAATTTCAACGAGCCACTCATTCTTCTGATCGGTAGTCAGGAAAGGCTGATCTGCACGCGTTTGCTGTGGCTCAAAGGTCTCGCTTAGTAGCCAATGAAGTTTCTCTTGGTCACTAGAAGACAACTGACTAGCGTCTGCATTGGTCTCTACGTAGTAGCAGTACTCGGTCTTGAGCTCATCGACCTCGAGACTGCCATTTTCGCTCACTTGTGCGCGTAGATACGCTAGCAACGTGCGATTGGCGTGTGCAGTGAAGGCTGGTGTACGATAGAATCGCAAGAGCGAGCTGGTACTTGCAATGGATGCCGTCTTTTGCTTCTTGGGCGATGAAGCCATGATCAGAGAGTTGAGCTCGAGGTAGTGGACACTGCTAATTGCGTAGTGTGTGGTGCTGCTGTTTTGGTCAATATGGCTACACGGTTTGACCAATGAAAGACGAGATTTGATCTTTCAAAGTACTGTGTGGTTGTGAGTGTAGATACATTTGAAATTTAAAGATAAAAAGTGACATACATATTAAATAAATTCTAACTTGGAGGAAACATCATTCCGAGTGACCATATCCTTCAAGTATTACATGGGCCACTTTTGAATACACTTCACAAGTTGACAAAGACGAGCCCAAGTCCGCTCTCCCACTTTCAAGACGCTCCGACCCCCTTTTAACCCGGGTCGTGCCGAGCACCGACTCCCAGCTTCCTAAGTTTGAGTCATTCAGACATTTAGCGTTCTACAGGCGTCAACAATTTAATATAGGCTAATCCCTGCTGAACGACAAAGATCTAAGTGCGCCAAGTCATTCCCGAAAGGTATTGACTGAATCCGTTTCATTTACATTGTAGTAAGATTCACTCATCAAGACGCTAGGCCGTACTGACGTGAGTCAACGAAAAGCTTAATTTTACGTGGAGTGGAAAAGAGCAAACAGTGTAGGCTGCACTTACTTTGGTCCGGGTATTTAGGTACCTTCTGACCGGTGTTTGCTTAGGTGTTATTCAACACTAGAGACGCAGCATCCGCTTTTCCACCGTTTCTGACTAAGCTTTGAGCCTGCTTACGCCTTGTCGAACACAGCTTCCGTAGGTCGAGATAGTTGGGTCGCGGTGCAGCAGTCTGCCAGTTTTGATGCCACATTTCTTCTCGTTGGGGTCCAGACATGATTCTCAAAGAGACGAAAAGGGATCGGAAATTAGAATTTATACAATAATTCAAATGGAATAGCTGCGTAAGGCTGCCTTTGCAGCGGGGCTGCCGTAGCTTAGCGCTTGAGGAAGCGTAATTTAGGTCACCGACCT